GGCTAATTTTTGTATTTTTAGTAGAGATGGGGTTTCACCATGTTGGCCAGGCTGGTCTTGAACTCCTGACCTCATGATCCATCTGCCTCAGCCTCTCAAATTCTCCTTTTGTTTTGTTTTGTTTTTTGTTTTTGTTTTTTTTTTTGAGACACCGTCTTGCTCTGCATCTTGGACTGGAGTGCAGTGGCATGAGCGTATGGCTCAATGCAGACTCGACCTCTTGGGGTCAAGGGATCTTCCCACCTCAGCCTCCAGAGTAGCTGGGACTATAGGCATGAGCCACCAGGCCTGGCTAATTTTTCCATTTTTTTGTAGAGAAAATGTTTCACCATGTTGAGCTAGTCCCAATCTCTGGGCTCGAGTGATCTTCCTGCCTTGGCGTCCCAGCCTGCTGGGATTACAGGAGTGAGCCATCGTGCCAGCCCCTTTCTCTATATTCTTTTCTGCAATGTTCTGATCTTCCAAAGGTTGCCTTCTTTTTTGTCAATTCTGTTTGGCTTAGATGTCGCTTCTCACAGAGGCCCAATTGCTATCATACTGCCTGTTGTAATTCACCAGGTACCACATAATGAACTTTAAGAGATTTTATTTAACCGTTCTTTATGGTGAAATTTAATATAGATGTAGAAAACCACATGAAAACAATTGTTTAACTTAATGGGTTGCCAGAAGGTGAAGGCCCCAGCACTCAGGCTGGAAAATCAAGCTTTGCTGCTCAATTGCGACACCAGCCACAGTCCCCTTCCTCCCTGTAGAAGGAGGTATGGTCCAGCCTCTTATGGGGACTCTTTCCTTTTCTTCCTGGTTTCCTCGTCCATGCTTCCATAAGCATCATAGTTTACTTTTACCCGATTTTCATTACTGTTTTTCACTCTATCTTTTAACACTTTTAGTCAACAATCTTTCCTTCCCATTTCTTTTTTTTTGGTTACATTTTATTTAAGAAACCAAGTCTTTGGTCTGCAGAATTTCTTGCATTCTGGACTTTGTGGATTGCTTTGCATCCCTCTGCAGTTTCACAGGCCCTCCTGTATTTCCTGTGAATGGGTACTGAGCAATACTAATAGAACTTCTGTGATGAGCGGAATGTATATCTGAGCTGTGGGTTGTGGCTACTTGTGGCTACTGAGCTCTTTAAATGTGGCCAGCGAGACTAGAGAACTAAAATTTTAAATTTTATTTAATCTTAATTAATTTAAATAGCCACATGTTTCTAGTTACCTTATAGACAAAACATCTAACGGTTGGATAGGATTTACATTTGATTTTTATTTTGCGGCAAAACTGCTTCCCAGGTGGTGGGTGGTGTTTTCTCATTAGGAGGCACATAAAGACTGGTTGTGTCCTTTTAATGATGTTAGACGTTATCAGTTGTTGGTGCTCAATGCCTAGAACCATCAATTTCTTAAGAACATAGAGTGATGTTCTATTCAATAATTTCTCTTTATTTATTAGCTGTAATACTTATTTAAAGAGAAACTTTTTCTCTTCTACTATTCAGTTATCCACTTCTATATACATAAGGTAAATGCTCGATTTGTTTTTTGGAGATGGAGTCTTGCTCTGTCACCCAGCCTGGAGTGTAATGGTGCAATCTCAGCTCACTGCAACCTCTGCCTCGCGAGTTCAAGCAACTCTCCTGCCTCAGCCTCCTGAGTAGCTGGGTTTACAGGTGCCCACCACTGTGCCCGGCTAATTTTTGTATTTTTAGTAGAGATGGTGTTTCACCATGTTGGTCAGGCTGATCTCAAACTCCTGATCTTGTGATCCGCCCACCTCAGCGTCCCAAAGTGCTGGGATTACAGGAGTGAGCCAACGCCTCTGGCCCATTCTTGATTTTTTAATCAGTTTTTCCAAAGGACACTTGTTAGTAAGTTTCACTGTGGTGTCATGGATATAAATGTAGTTGATGTGCCTGGTGCTGCTGCACCTGTTATCCTTATTGAAACTCCTCTTTATCCCACCTGTGGCCTGTAGGAGTCTCTGCATGCCAACTCCTGAGTTCTTATGTGACGATCATAGTCATCCTTGATCAATTCTTGCTCTGTGATGTCAGAGAGCTCTTGGAATTAGCCATAAGAAGTCCTGATTTCTTTTAGTAGAAAATGGTATTTCAACATGACGGCCTAGGCATAGGAATGCTTACTGCCATGAGTTGGTCATTACTTCTAGGCCTTCTCAGCTACCCGAACCAGGAGAGTTCTTATAGATATTTCCAGTTCACATTCAGGAATTCAGAATTCCTATTCATTCTTCCACTGGAGAATTATTCCCTGGTTGAATCAGAAGATGATGAAATTAGAGAATCACATAATTACTCATTTGCTTTATCCCATATTACACACAAAATAGTGTCAGAATAATATGATTACTGAAAACAGTTAAATAATATTTTCCCTCATATACTCACTCATTTCTCTTTTCAAAAGTGATTGTGCCATTTTACTTACCCACTGGCACTGTATGTGGCTTCCAGTTTCACCACTTCTTCACCAGCACTTGTTATTATCTGTCTTTTTGATTATAGCCATCCTAGAGGGGATGAAGTTATATCTCATTGCAGTATTGACTTGCATTTCCCTGATAGATAATGATGTTGAACATCTTTGCATGTGTTTATTGACTGTTTGTATATATTCTTCATATTGTTTGCCCATTTCAAAAGTTGGATTACTTAGTTGTATGTGTTGTTTATATATCCTGGATATAAGTCCCTTATCAGATACATAATTCTCAAATATCTGCACCCATTTTATAGGAATTAAGTTTTCA